AGTTTAAAAGCAATAATATTAAACTCAAAAGTTCAGTTTGGAAAATTTGTTACTGTCATAATTAGGGATGGCTATTTATCATTTTAATATTTCTTAACTTTCATCAATAGCTTTCTCATCGAGATGGTCGTAAATCATTCCCGCTAGTATTAATTTACTATTCACCACCTTCAACAAAACCTGAGACACACATGCTGGTATTTATTTATTGTTCTTTACATTTATTAGATTGCATATATAAATTTCATAATATTTCATGATCATGATAGTACGCGAGTGCAAAAACGTACTTTCAACAAAAAGCCGACTTAAACAAGGTAGGAAATTAAATTCGTTTCGGTTATATTTATACATATTAATTATTGTTAATTGTTTAGGTATTCGATATTAGAGAAATTGAGGAATTAACCAACGAATGGTTGCAGGGAAAACTACTTTAATACTTGTTCATCTTTCCATATTCTTTCTGTATTTATAAAACATATATATATATTTTTGTTTTCGAAATACGTTCATGATGCAACAGTTTTTTTTTATATTTTTGACAAAACTGCAAGAAAAAATTTTTGTTTTGATTAAAATCACACAAAAATAAAGACTTAAAGCTATAAAGCCGCGCAATTATATAAAATACTATCGATAAAATTATACAAGAACTTCCTAAATCAAATTACAAGTAAAAAATACCTACACAGATGATATAGATAATCCATCTTTCTGAATATTCTTATAAGAATTCTCTCCATATGAAATGAATGCAATACAACCATACAATTAGATATTCTTCTTACATGTCCTTCCTTGATTTGTCCATCAACTATCTCAGTTCCTGCTATCTTACACTATCCCAAACTTAATAAATGTTTTTAATAATCATTCAACTTAAGATTCATTAATGAGTGCGACGATCATTCTATAGTATAATAAATCATAAATACAAATTAATAAAATATTAGTAAATTTATTGTTGATTCGGTTTAAAGCTTTGTAAAAAATTAAAAGATTCCATTGTAAGAAAATTAGTACGCATATATAGTCATATATAGTCGTACTTATCACACTTTAAAACAAGTGTTGTAACTAATCGATTATTAAATGTCTATTCTCTTATTCTTATTTGCATTTTTACATAATCATTAAATCATATAATGTCTTGATGTAATTTGTCATACCTGTACAAGTAATAAAAGAAACAAATTAGATAGAACCCAAGCTTTATGAAACACTCTTTCTTATGTTGTCCAAGAGTTCGAAAAATCTCTGTAGCATCATACATATGTCGATTATTGCTAATTCTAAAAAAGAAACAATTTAATTGATTACATTTAATGATTTATATTACAAGAATTTACAATCTATACTTACTTTTGAACATTAAATGCTACTAATGGAGCGTTAATTGCAAAAGCTATCCAACTCCCATTAATAAAGAACGCAAAATTGAGGAAAGCATGAGCCAACATTTCTGGAAGAACGAACTGGTTTTATATATAAATATTGTTAGTATTCCTGCACCACTCTAAGCATACATTCAATGAAACTGAAGGGTTTACTTGATTCAATTTGTTACAAAGATCAATTGGATTGATATAATCGCATTCGAGATCTGAAAACATGATTGTCTGTTCATGCAAGGGTAAAAGTGCTTAAAGATTATGGATAAAATAAACCATGATCAACGTTGAGCAAGTAGAGATTTAGTATAAAGCATGAGTAGTCTTAAAACTTTTCTGTCAATTCTCTAATTTCAAGGATACGAAAAAGACCATCATAAAAAGCAGGGCAGCTGCCATAATGGTACCAAAAAGAAATAGCAAAGCTTCACCGGGCATGTTTGTTGTATTTATCTATTAAATCTTATCATTCAAGACCAACGCAGCGAAGTTGATTGCTGAATAAAAAAAGATTTATGTAAATTTTTTGATAGGTTGATTGTGTAACTCGGTTTTCTAACCCGGTTTTACCTCGGCTTGAGCCGAGCTTTTTTTAATTAATACTCTTGTAAAGTAAATTCCCGATCGAGGATCGTCTTTTTTGGGAGAACGTTAAAGTCAGGTACCAGTTAGGGTTACCTTTTTGATTCAGTTAGGGTTAATGGGTTATATAGATATCAAGAATACAATTTATGCATCATATGAATGTACCTGGCGGTCATATGTTTTTGATTTTTTTTAATTAAAGCTAGAGTAAGGGTTAGGATAAGGCAAATCTTACAGTAAAAATTGCCTCCCCGACATTTTTTATTAATGCCCAAGGTAGGTTTAGGCACTCATTTCTTGTATTTTTGACGTTTTTCCTTCGTCGTGTCGATCAAACCAAACAATTTTATTGGCTTGGTGTCACGGGACTGCACACGGCTTTAGACGACCCTCTTTTTTGGTACGTAACAGTAATACTGATCATAATCGTAATGGTAAAAATTATTCTCAAAAAACAAAAATGATTCTCCATCTTCCGTTTATTGTAGTCTATCAAAAATTTTACTTTTTTTTTCTGTGTTGGATTTTTTACCGAATAAAGAATTTGTTTGATTATCTCTAAAATTATATCATAATATCGATATAGGACAACTTGCTTTTGATTTGGCAATCACTTACATATATATATATGTGCATAACAAGTAAAAAATAAAATTTAAAATCTCGAAAAAGTACGTATGTAAAATCATTCCAAATAATTCTATACGTACCTAGAGGTACCTTATTTAGGTGAAATTTCTATGTATATTGTAACTAAATCATTAAATATAACCAGATTATTGAAAGCAACTAATACGTAAAATAATTTTTTTTACAAAATAAAGTGACTTTTAAATTATGTTAAAGAATTATAAAGAATATATATTAATATATATATATGATATAAGAATAGAGTTAGTCATAAGAGTGTTATATATCTATATATATAAAGGTAAATCAAGCAAATAAAAATTTTTATCAAGTTTGGTTTAATTATTTCATACAATATACACCATAGTTACCATTCTCATGATTGTGCTATTTACAGCTAATGATACAAATATTTAAGTGATATAAAATATTAATGAAACCAGAAAAATAAGAAGTTTTGAAGTGCAACATTATGATTTTCTACTAATTGATAAGTCCAGGTGTAATCAGCTTCTAGTGCAGAATCTAAAGTTTGAAATTTTGGATTTGACGACCAAGTTTACAACGAATTACCAGAACCTGCTGAATCGATTGTCAACAGCATACTTGATAAAATTTTAATAAGACGAATGAAATGAACAAATTCAGTATGAATTTGTAATTCTTGTTCGTCATTGAAATAATTTTTTTAAGGGAAGATCAATATCTTTATTTGACAAGAATATCCTAAATATGAGAATTAGAAATAAAAATCAAATAGTAAATAATTAAATTACCCTGCGCACCGCCAATTAATTGATCGATGAAACAAGTTTGCCGTAAACGTTTTCTAACAATCATGTCTTTACTGATTTCTAAATTAGTTTTTTTTTTCTAGATCTAAATCCTGTACCATACGAAGAATGGTAGATTTGACGCATACCTTTCTTTTTCATAATAAAATTTGTGATTGTGTTGTAGATAAATTGGTTCTCATAACCTGACCGGGTCGAATTTTACAAAAAATTTTATTATCCGAGTGGGTTTTTTAAAAACATCTATAAAAAATTTATATATATGTTTTTTATATATATATAGAATTTTTTGAAATGCCGATTTATTAAGTTTGTATGACATAATTGAGGAGCATTAAAGAAATCATCTACGTAGTAAATCTGATTTTTAAAACTATAGTTAAAAAAATAGGTTAGTAAAGATAGATTAGTAAAATAATATATACCTCTGGCACTATTAAAATAAAATATCAAGCAGTTTCAGGTTTCAAAGGATCAAGATGAACTACGAGGCCATCAGAAAATCTTGCTCCCGAATAATAAAGGAAAATTTGGATTATTCTTATTATTAAGGCGTCATATTAGAATCGTTCTTGTTAAATAATTATATTTTTTTCCTGATTGGTCAATCACTTATAGTCGTACGTATTTAAGGTTTAGAGAATGTAACAGTAACATTTTCATGTGAAAGGATCGTCTCAATCTTAACTATATCGACATAGTTATTATGCAAATTTTATTTCATTGTCTACGTAGAAATACTTTAAAGCTTGGAAAATAAAATTAAAATTTAAATATAAAGATATAATATCAATATTTTTTGATCAAAAAAATATTGAGCTATGATACAGCACAATCTCAAATTATATACAGTATATATATATACACTATGAAAATCACAGTATGTTAATCTTTAAGGTTCATTATTTTTGTAATACACTATTCGTAACTTTTATTTATTGACGCTGTTATTATTTAACCACATAAAATGTACATTATAGTACTATCTACACGTTTGCGCTCATTTACGATGAAAAGGTCATTTTAAATGAGACCATTATGATTCGCAAAAACAACCCTTTATGCAAATCTTCCATCAATGCCAAGAAAATATTACGTATAAATGATGTAATAATCCCTACAGTAAGAAAAATATAGTAATAGAATAGTAAAAATATAAAGTTAAATAATTCTAATTTAGAAGGAAGATCATTGCGCAAAACGTAATAAGTAAATAGATCATGTGATTAGCACTGTCCAGGTGAACAATTTTTATAATTAATATTCTCCACCTCTTTCTCCACCTCCTCCACGGCTGATAATTCCAATTTGTTGTCGTCTTTGAGCGTCTAATTTAGGGCATTCAGAGATACGATGACCAAGACCACCACAAAACGTACAACCTATGAATAGTTGTATTTGAGAAATAATTTAATCAAAATGAACAGCACAGCTAGGGAATTTTGATGAAAGTCAATACTACCTCCCGACAATTCTTTGTACTCTTCTTCCAACGGATCCCTTAAAGCTTCTAATACAGGAGGAACGCGCTGTTTTGCTTCCTTGAGCAAATGTTTCAAATCGAGTAAAATTTGTTCAGAACAATTCATGTTAATAAATGTAGTTGCTACACCAGTTTTTCCAGAACGTCCAGTACGGCCAATTCTATGTACTGAATAACAGATAATGTATTAGATACATTTATACTGATTTCTTATTTTGTTTCATTAATACTTGCCATAATTTTCAATTTCTTTTGGCATATCATAGTTTATGACATGTTGAATATCTGGAAAATCTAACCCTTTGGAAGCTACATCAGAGGCAACTAGAACATCCTTCTTGTATTCTTTGAATGACCGGATTGCGAATTCACGTTCATCTTGACCTTATTAATAATTAAAATATTAGCAACTATTCGAATTATTATTTAGCAATAAATTTATTGCAAAGATACTCACTTTTCCCCCCATGGATCGCAACAGCTTCAACTCCCTTAACGAGAAGGTACTCATGAATATCATCTACATCATTTTTATTCTCCGCAAATATTAATACCTAAAAAATCGATTTATTTACTAAATAATTATCCATCAAAATATGTATATATGCTATAATAATTACTTACGGGAGGTGGAGTTTTTTGTAAACATTCTAATAAATATACGATCTTGGATTCTTGTTTTACATATTCTACTTCTTGGATGACATCCAAATTGGCAGCACCGGCACGACCAACGTTTACAATCACTGGTTTAACTAATGCGGACCTTGCAAAGTCTTGAATTTTTTTGGGCATAGTAGCTGAATACAGCAAAGTTTGGCGTTGATTCTAAATATTTAAATAATGAATGTGAATAAATTATATATATCTATATAAGAAAAGCTATCATATAAATCGAATATACATACAGTGAAATATGACATTATATTTCTAACATCATCTTCAAATCCCATATCAATCATACGATCTGCCTCATCTAAACACAGGAATCTACAAAGAAAAGCAACTAAATATTCCGAATATTTCAATTTAAAGCAAAAAACCGTGTGCAATAAATGAACTTACTTGCATAAATCTAAATTAAATTTCCTTTTTTCTAACATGTCCATTAATCTACCAGGAGTTGCAACTACAATGTGAATCCCTTCTGATAATGTATTCCACTGATCTGCCATCGATATACCGCCAATACATAAAAGAATTCGTAACTTTGGATAGCCATCCATAATTAAGAACTCGTTCATTGAGCAAATACTTTCATATGTTTGTCGTGCCAATTCACGCTAATAATACATTATTTTATGTTACCAATTTGTTATTAATTAATAAAAGTTTTTATGTAATATTTAAAGACTTTACCGAAGGGCACACGATCATTCCTATAGGACCTTCTCCTCTAATTAATGGAAGTTTTACATCTTCTTCCAAAGCAAACATGACCAATGGTAAAGAAAAAGCCAAGGTTTTTCCAGACCCTGTAAATGCAATTCCGATCATGTCTCGGCCAGACAATCTAAAAATACATACTTTATCGTTAATCTCTTACCATAAAAATTTAAGAAACTTTAATAGTTTCATCCATTCAATAGAATTGATTGCACAATTTGGCTTACACCACTGGAAGGCCTTGAACCTGAATTGGCGTAGGTCGGTTGATACCTTTAGATTTTAAGTATTTCAATATTGCTGGCGGGAATTTCATGTCCTATCACGTACAATATTACAAGATTGATAAATTTTGTGCACATTATACAATTATTTTGTTACTATATAATATATACAAACCCTAAAATGTTTTATTGGTGGCGGGATATCTTCACCATCAACAAGAATATGATATCTCTGTCTTATGGCTTCATGTTCTTTTTTAGGAGCTTCAAGGATATGAAGAGGTGGTCTCCACCTGAAAATAATCAAAAAAAGCTTACTTTTAGTCACTGAATAAATTTAAGGAAGTTTGTTATAAAATAATAAATGTACGTACGTAGTCCTCATAGAATCTGTGTAAATAATGCCTTTTGCGAGTTCTCGATCAGATGCCAAAAGCTTTTTCTGAGCAACGGCTTCCATTATAGCCTTTTCCTCTTCGAGTTTCTTTTCTGCCTCAGTCTTTACGGCGTCTGAAATATATATGTTTTTACTATAAAAAATCACTAAACAGTGAATATTAAATCAAAGTCTTTTGTATATACCTTCCAACATTTTTTGCTTTTTGACTTCTACTGCTTGATCAATCAAGCTCACGTTGGCTTTAGGGCCAGCTTTATGAGAGTCTTCAACCTCTTCATCTGCTTCAACGATATTTTGCTGCTCGGGAAGGCGTCTTTGATTTACAAGCTTCTGAAATTTGGCTTCACGTCTTTGTTTGATCGGTACATAAGGAACGTAATTGTCATCGTCGTCAACGAGATCAAAAGTATCTTCAGTTTTTGCCATTTACTATCAAACGTACGTATTGATATTTCGATATCGAATCTAGTTACATCAAGTGATGGTCTATATTCCTACGTAGTATGATATGATCATCAAAATTTTATTGGTCAATTTTATCTAAAACTAACGCTACCTTGCAACTCATACAGGGGAACACAAAATTCCGGGTCGGAATACCTCGGAATCATAATCGGCAGGGCCGGAATTAACTAATTTTGCCCAAGATCACTAAAAGTTTTACAGTAAAACCCCCACGTGCACTTAGAAAATAATAAGAAAAAGTGCATTTATGGAGGGCATGTATAGATTTGGGCATTTAGAGAGAGTGTGCACTTATAGAGGGTGCATGGAGATTTCATTGTACGTATTAACAACAATAAAATAAATATTTAAAATTTGGTATATATAAAAATATATATTTATTGTATTAAACTAAGACATTTACAAATTATAAAATTTAGTATAAACAATAAAACAATATGATAGCCAATAAAAAACTAAAATAGCCATCCCTAATTATGACAGTAACAAATTTTCCAAACTGAACTTTTGAGTTTAATATTATTGCTTTTAAACT